GCCCTCCCCCCACAGGTCCTCGAAGCCCTGATCTCTACCCAGATCCTCCAGGGCAGAGGCCGGCCTCATGGGGTCCTCTAAGGTAAGATCTCTGCCCCCCCACAAGGCAGAGGGCCACCCCACGGGGTCCTCAAAGCCCCACAATCATCGCCTTCGGGAGATAGTGATTGGCAGCCATGGCCTTTCAGAGAGCAGTCCAGAACTTAACACCTTGCACCACCAGGCCCCTTTCAAGCATGCACAAGAGACAGAAAGATGATCACACAGCTTCCTCGGGCTGAGGGGCTGACAGGCACAAGGTTTCTTTAGGGTGTGGAGAATGTTCTAGGAGCCTGCCAGGTTGTGGTGATAATAGCTGTGAACCACTAACGGCAGGCTGTGAGGGGTGGCATATAAACTCCCTCAACACCACCAGTCCTGAACGAGTGCCCGCTCAGCCCGCGGCACCCACACACTGGCAGGAGCCCCCATCTCCAGGCCAATGCCCTCCCAGGTCCCTCACTCTGCTGCCTGGCCTCCGCCCCCTCCACCTGCTGCCTCCATCTCACCTTCCAAGGGGCCGCTCAAATGTCACCTCCTCCTGTTGCCCGCAAGTCCCCTGGTCTCACATGGCATGGCTGGAAGGGGCCCTGGTGGCACAGTGAATAAGCGTCACTGGTGTAACTGCACCAGTCGAGCCAAAGGAGGCGGCAGTCTGCTGATCTGAGAGCACAGCCCTGGAAAGGCGGGACAGCGGGTCCACTCGGCCCTGGGGCACCACAGAGGGACTGGCAGGTCTGCCCAGCAGGAGGGACACTCTAGGACACCCTGGGGGATGGCTCACACTATCCTATTCTATTCCACTGTTTGCCACGAGACAGACATTAACAGGTCTGCTTATCAGGACAGATGGCCTCGGACATCCTCTGGGCAGTACACTCTATTCTGTGGGGGCCTCACAAGGAGGATAAGGGGCTCTGCCCATCAGGGGGAGCAGCCCCAGATACCGTATGGGACGCTTCTACTCGGTCCTGAGGGGCTGCAGAGAAGAGGACCCAAAGAAAACAGGCGAGTGCGAGTGCAGGTGAGGATGACTGGGAACCGACGGCCGTGCTCACAAACACATTTGCCGTCATTTGTGGCAACCTGTTAACATACACACACACCCCCCCTCCAGACAGAAACCAAACCAAGGACACACGCTGGCAGCAGGCATCTCCCGTCCCCCCAGCCCAGTCCCAGGGACACAGGGACGATTCCCCGTCCTCCCAGCTGACCGACGGCACCCCTGCCTTCTCATTCGTCCTCTCCCACCAGATCTGGGTGAAGACTTCCCACGGGAATTCTTACTGGATCCCTCCCTGGTCAAGTGGGAGCCGGCCACGTTCACCGGTCACAGGCTCTGTTCCCTACAGGGGGAGGTCAACACTGTGGCTGAGAGGACAGGCCCTCGTGACAGGCTGCCAGCACTGGAATCGGGCCACCACGAAGCAGCCTCGAGGTTCTGACAAATCACTCCTCCCTGGGTCCCCGTTATCCTCACAGGGTCACTGCCGAGGCTGAGCCAGGTGACACAGGCTACACGTGAATGAGACTGCACTAGAGACAGACGACACGGGCTGAGGCTGAAGGAGATGACAGTGAACGATACAAGTCATCAATACAGACTGAAGCCAAGTAGGCTGACACAGGCCGAACAAGGGGGGACGGGCTGAACGAGGGGGCACGGGCCGAACGAGGGGGCACGGGCCGAATGAGGGGGGACAGGCCGAACGAGGGGGCACAGTGTGAATGACACAGGCTGCAGGAGGGGGCATGACTGACTTTAAACAAGACACCACAGACTGAAGCTGACACAGTGACGTGGGCTGAGGACACACTGATGTAACAGGCGGCATGAGGTGACACCCTGGAAAAGCCTGGAGGAGAATGTCACCCCTCTTTCACAGACGAGAAGCTGAGGTTTAGACAAGAGGTGATAAACCTGCAGCCACCCAGCTAAGAGACCGGGCGTACCTCCACACCTGCCGAGCTGGCCTCCCCTCCTAAGGCCCTCATGCATTCTCCCTATGACCCAAGATGAGGGGCAGCAAGCACGGTGTCCACTCCTGAGGGACGGAGGCTGGTCCTTGGACGGGGCACAGGACAGTGTGCGGGAGCGCTGAGAAAGGGAACTTGTCCAGAGCATGTCTGGGTCCCCCGACACCACCCACCCAGGTCTCCAGACTTGGGGACCAGAAGGGACTCCACACTCGGCATGAGAAAGCAGCCTGTGTCCTGTGAGTCCAGCAGGAGGGAGCAAGACGCAGAGGCAGCGGCGAGCGCGTGCACTCCAGGGAGGAGTCCAGGCCCAGGCCCGCGGACAGAGGGCACCGGGTCAGCCACTGTGTTCGTGTGTGATCACCCCCACCCCATCCAGGCCCGTGTGACAGGGCGCCAGGTCAGCCAGTGTGATCGTCCCCACCACCGTGTAGGCCCGTTTAACAGGCCAACGGGTCAGCTAGCACGAACATCCCCCCACCACTGTCCACGCCCGTTGTGACAGGGCACTGGGTCAGTCAGAGTAGCCCTTCAGGTCCACTGTGATGGTCGTCATGGTTGCCCCAGTTGCCCCTGCCCACACGCCCTGCCCTGAGGTGGGATCAGGAGGACTCCGCAGGTCACTCTGAGCTGGCTGTGCCCCAGGGGGTCCTGCCACACAAGCAGGCCTGGGTGGCCACTCCCACCCTGTGCAGAAGTGCGTCTCCTCCCTGCTCCAAGGTGCCCGAGGCTGGGGTCTTATGCCCATGGGCCTCCTCACACTGCCCGCCACCGGGGGTGGACACAGGAGCCCCAGAAAGCGGTGCTCAACGCCTGCCTCTCCCACAGGGCATGTGGACAACCCTTCTGGCTCCATCCCTCACGCCACGCAGGACCCTCAGTGACTTCCTGCCACCCACTCCACAGAATCAGGACCCAAGTGGGAATGGGGAAGCAGTGCACCATGACCACAGAGCTGGGGTCTCCTCCAAGAGCAAAGCGAGTGTGGCCGGCCCCGTCCTGTGACACTCCCTGTCCCCATCCTGTCGCCCCCACCTGCCCGGACAGAGGCTGAGGTCACGAAGGGAAGGAGCTGACCCTAGAGCTGCCTTCCTCCACCCAGAGGAGCCAAAGGCACCGCTCATCGAGCGGATCACGACCCCAGGTGACCCCGGAGGACAGAACTGTGCCACAGCATCTCCAAGGCTGGAACCGTTAAGGACAGAGGGAGCTCTGGTGGCCTCAACTCAAAGGTATGAGGTTCGAATCCATCAGCTGCTTCAAGGGAGGATGGGCAGCCTCCTGTGAGATTGACAGCCTCTGAAAATGCACTGGAGGGTCACCTATCGGTGGGTTCCGGCTCAACAGCACACAAGGAGGGAGCCCTGGTGGCTGAGTGAGAAGCTGCACTGTCAAGCCAGTGGCCCACGGTTCACGTCCACCAGCTGCCGCACAGAAGATGGGTCCTCTCGCCTCTGTGAGATTTACAGCTCTGAGGACCTGACTCTGAGGTCAGCCCCGAGTCTGTTCCAATGACAGCGCCCAACAACTGCTCACAGAAGCTGCCTGCCTCGTCCCTCTCCCCCGAGCGGCCAGTGTGGGTTACAACTGGGGCTATCTCAGCAGCCTGATGCTTCCTCCACAGTGCCACCAGGGTCCCTTCTGCCTCTGGGCCCTCCCACTCCCACCCGCTGACCCACCAGGGATGCCCTGGACCAGGCAAGGCGCTGAAGCCCGCAGGAGTGTCGAGGACGAAGCTCCCAGTTCAAGGAAGGAGCAGCGGTCACTTGTCCAGGGTCCCTGAGCCAGGGCTGCGTGTCCACCTGCGGCGGACGCAGGAATGAACTCTCAAGGGGACAGAGGCTCAGAACGACCTCCTAAAGGACTTAATCCCGAATCAGCACAACGCCAGACTGACCCCCACCCGGGATCCCAGAACTGTCCACAAACTTGACCACCCGGGGCCAGCGCCCCAGGTCACGCCCCCCCCAAGTCCCTGGGCACTGCGGACGGGGCCAGGCCAGCTGTCCAGGCCCGCGCCTCCACCCAACACTGTGCCATGGTCACTTCTGCTCCGTCGGACAACGTGGGGTCTACCTGTGACCCACCCCCCAAGACGGAGGGAGAGAACCTAAGGGCAGAGGCCCCTAGAGAGGAGTTCAGGCCACTGTTCTCACCCAGCACGCGGAGCACGAGGCGGCTGACCTTGACCTGTCCCCCCCACCCCACCCCGGAGGACGGGGGGGGTGGAGAAGGAGGACAGAGCAAGAATGAATGAGCCTCTCATGGGGTCGAAGGCCACGTGGGCCTGGGGGGGGAATCACGGGATTCGGGTTCATAGGGAAAGAAGGAAGCAAGAGCCCCGGGAGCCGCCCCCTCCCCGCCAGGCCGCAGCATCCGGTCAGGCCCCTCCCGGGCCTCCACTTCCCCGAGGAGTCCACTTCCGGCCACGGCCAGCGGACCGGGTGGGAGTTAACGGAGGGCGCCGGGGCGGGTGCGCACGCGC